AAGGCAATGTAGACATTGACTTTTAGTTGGACAGGCCAAAAAATTAAGCTTGACATAATGCTTGCATTGGTATGAATAAAAATTAATGTGTGCTTATGCTACAGAAGTTCTTTTTGTTGCTCCAAAATTGACTTTTGACTGCTCCAAGAGCTGCGCCAAAATGACTCGGACCAATCACATCACTGGTATCTTAACAAAATTGGCATATCATTACTATGTTGAAATATTCCAGCAAAAATATAAAATATTAGGCATAATACCATGTTTTCAATGGGCTGGAGCGATGATAGACATCGCATGCCGACCCCATTAGATGCCCTTGTTAAACCGCTTCGAAAGGATAACTGATCTTGCTCTATTTATACACTGTGCAGGACGATAGGCCAGCTCAAGCGTAGGTTCCACTGCCTCTATGCTGAGTTGAGGATGCAGCAGAGAGATGCTGTGACATCACTGTCGCCTGCTGTGTCCTGCACAACCTGGCCAAGACATACCCTTGCAGCATGCCAAGGACTGTCCACCCCGAAGAGGTTCCCGTCGAGCCCGTGGTAGCGGGTCGTGACGAAAGCAACGAGGCTTGGTACACCATCATTAGCCAGTTCACCGGTTGAGCGTAAGTATACTAATATATTGTGCATGCTGCTTTGCATGGTCTTGAGTGCCAGTGCACTGTGCTGGCAAGGTACTCCCAATGATGTAAAGTCGTCAAACATACCTTTTAGAACTTATCCTCTGTGTTACAATGTTGATATATAAAGTTTTTAATACACTGTACATGCTTTAGTTATATTTCACCTCGCCCGAGGAAGGACTAGTTCCCATAGCAAATATACCGCATGGTTTCAAACAGGCTCATGATTGGACCCGGCGGCCTGTAGCATTGGGCTTTTTAGCCCATCGTAGGACGAGACGGAGTATAGCAGATCTGAATCCAGAAATCTATTGACAGTCGCAAGTAAAATGAATTTAATTTCTCAGCAGCTGTGTTGGCTTTGTCATATGTAAACAAATACATTCAAATTGCAAATTAAAAACAGCATAATATGTCAACGTTTACTCTTCTCCTAATTGTTTTTTTAACAATTTGATTTGCAATTCTGCACGCTGTGTTCCCAGTCCAATTAAAGATTTTTATAGTTTTTTCGTTCCTCTAGTAATTTTTTGACTGATGGTACAACTCCTCTGCAGCAGTTGCTGCTGCGGTCATTGCCGTAGCAGCTTGTTTAACCCTTTCTGTACACCCCTTCTCCAGCAGGAGATTCGCTCCCTCTAGCTGCTGCTGCCTCTTTGTCTCCTGCAGGAACCGCTGTGAAGCCTCCCGGCACCAACGTCAGCTGTACAGCACATTCGTTGGAGCCCGCTGCACCGCCTCCTGTGGCAGACTCTCGTACAGCACTTCCGCTTCCAGAGGGACCAGGCTGTGGATCTATTCCCCTGGAGCTGCGACAAATGCATGTGTAAAAAGTGGTCAGGTTTTGTTCTTGTCAGTATGGGCAAAGAGAACACACTGTGCATAGTTTGTAAGCCTGATAAAGATGCCGATGCTGGGCCAAAATGTATTTATACGTGTTGGTGCAGAGGACAAAGTTTGCTAGCTAAGTTGGTTTATATACTGACATGCAGGCTTGATGTCGGAGCACTGTGTCATTACTTTCTGCACAATTGCCCAATGCATGGTGTGGGAAAATGCGCATTTGGTTGTGAAAAGCATTTGCAGGCATGTGTTCATACACTTTCACTGCTAAAGGTTGGGCAGCTGTGTAGCTATGTGATTAACAGTTCATAAAATTAGTGGTCACATTTCCAGTTAAATCTCGTTGCACTGTGCACATTGATAGGACAACTTTAAACATTACAGCACATAGTTTCACTGGCATTGATTTTACTCGCACAGGTTACCATCATGGGAGTCGTTAACTTCAGAACTGGAAGGAAGTTAGTGTTTGAGCCAATTTTCCTAAGTTGGTAAAACTAGCAACAGGATGGTTGCACTGTGTGTGATATTTTAATTTACATATTGAAAACCTGTTACAGTTAGCATAAAAAAAGCCATTTCTACTTTGTTGCATTTAATTTTTATTAGATTATGGTAAACAGCTTTACCTCCCGATTTTTCATTGCGTGCCATCCTATTTCATAAATTTGTAGCTTCGGTAAAACTTTTTCAGCCTTGCTGAAAATAATGACAAATGTGGTAGCGCTTTGCCTTGTCAAATCTTGGAGTGTACTCTGGAAGACGGTTTCGTGACTTATACTTGGACCCGCCTTTGAACTTTTGTGGTTGAAATAAAACTGAAGCCAGATTCCCAAAACTTTCTTACGACAAAAGAGCTTGTAAATTTATCTGACGACAAAGTTACAAACTTTTGAGTATTCCTGAAGCAAAATGTTCGCAAGCTTTGCGCAAGTTACAGATTTCGTCGAAATGTGCGCAAAACTTAAAAACATTTTGCTTCGGGAATACTCAAAAGTTTGTAACTTTGTCGCAAGATAAATTTGCTAACTTTTTTTGCCATAAGAATGTTTCGGGAATCTGGCCTCTGGTCTTTATATAAAAGTACTCGGCAGTAATGCTATTCAAATGGCAACATGCCCATCTTGTTATCAACATTTGTCCTCGTCTTTTAGAGCTTCGCCTGGAGCAACAGTTCTGCTTTACTATGACCAATTCCTTAGCACCATTTACTCGTCACACAATCGGGTCTAGAAACCAGTCACCTACTCTTCCGTGTCACCTATCGTGGCAACCAAACCCGCACAGATTGGGAAAGTCCTCGCCAATCGTCTCGAGGACGGCTTCGACGAGGGGCGTCAAGACATGGGGGTTTGGCCCAGCACCTATGAATTAAGGCATAGTAATTTCGTCTCGTCTACTACTTACTCGAGTCATGAGCAAAAACAAAGGAGGTGGGGTTCACTGTTCAAACAAGTATGTAAATGAAACTTTCATGGGAAAATCAAAATAAACAAATACTGCATGAGGCATTCTTTTAAACATTCAGTAACTGTGACATAACATTGCTGAAACTGTGGACTATGTAATCATGCAATTTTTACTTTCTTACAGTTTGGCCTGTCGACCTCGGTTGGCCTAGACCATTGTGCTCTAAAAGTGTGTGTTAATATTGTGTCCAAAGTTTTGGGTCTTCCACTAGAACGGTTTTACGAGTTCCAGACAGCCTGTGCAGAACTTGTACATAAACTGCAATAAATGGTCTTCTGATGCTGTAACACTGCTTTTACTGCTGTTCTTAGAAGACGACAAGTCGACTCCCAGCAGAGGGAAAAGGTGCACGAATATACAAATGTCCACATGCATGTTGCTAGGTCTGATTGTCCATATATTATCACTAAAGCAATGCAATATTTTTTTAACTTAAGAACACAATGAACTTACCTGTGCGCTGTTGGTGCTTGTATAAGCTGTACAGCAATCTGGTCTTTAAAAGGGTCTTCGAACACTGCTGTAATTGGTGTTGGTCTGGGGTGCGCAAACAGTTTATGCCTGTCTTTCTGTTTGGGTCGTGATCGCAGCACTGAACTTCCCTATAATTTGATATTTTTGCTTGCCCACTAACCAAATTAGTTGCAATTGTTCATCCAATGTCCAATTCCTCCGCCGTTTCATGCTGATGCTTGATGTCACATGACTCATTTTCGATTTCAGATTGGTTGTGATCGTCTGCTACGTAATTATGTCTCTCCTTATAATCCTAACAAAACATCTAGTTATCCCAAAACAAACAAAAAAAATTGACGAAAGACAGGCACAAGAGAAAGCGTGGACACTTTTTTCATGATAGAAGCATTGTTTATTTCCCAGTTGTACAAGTCCGGCATCCGTGCCGGCAGTTTATATTGAGGTAACGGATATTTGCCTCCGAGGAAAGTTTTTAGTCTACATCTTGCCTTCGTTGAACCGTCTCCCGCTGCAAGGGGGTCGTCGGTGCTGTGGATGCGCTGCAAATACAATACACGGCGAACTGTACTATAAACCAGACTCCGCGAGTAGAGGCAGTTTTTCGAAGGGAATTGTTTCACTACCATGCGATTGCGGCTCAAGGTAGGTTTCAAAAGTGAAAAAAAGAAAGCTGGACGTTGATTACAACGCAAGATCTGCTGACATGACATTTTGATAGCGGTACAATCTCATAACTTTCTCGTGAAACATCGCGGCACTCACCTAGGTAATATATTTTGAAGATCCTGCTGACTGTACCCTTCGTTGAAACAAGTCCACGGGCGCTGCGTGAACTCGCACTTGACGTGACCAGTCAAGCGTAGCCCTGCTCCCACAGCACGCTCGCCGTCCGGCGGTGGGCGAGCTGCCGTCGACTCCGACTGTAGACTCTGTGTTGAAATGTTCCTTTCGTGGCACGAGGATGACGCATCTTCGTAAAAATAAATGTTCCCAAGCGTGACGAGCAGCCGTAGCAGCCATATTGTCTGATGCTAGGTACTATTTGGCTCCGGCGTCCCTACTCTGCAGGTCACGTGACCTAAAATTCCCCCTCGTAGGGAAATCCGGTTAACCGCGGTTAGTTAACCAGCTTCGAGCAAACGGGCCCTGGCGGCAAAAAAAATTGGCTTCGAAACTCACGGAGCCGAAAATTAAAAGTGCGTTCATTACGCGAGAAAAAAAGAAAAAGTTTAAATATTGATGCTTGTTGTGGGGGCTGGGTTCATTATGCGAGTAAATACGGTATTAATTCTTATTCCGGACTTATGTAACCATTACTGTGGAATCGTGTCGTGCATTATTGAAGGAATAGCACTCGAGACAAAACTTTATGCATTAGACATACGACGAAGTCGAAATCGCGGCGGAAGTTCACAGAAATTCAGCTGGCATTGCTCAGATGGAAGGGTTTGTACACCCGTGAACTAGAGTGCATGGCAACAACTTTTACGGATACTGGTACAGAAGCTGAATGAGTAGGGGTTTCAAGTCTTACCTCGTCTGTCAAACTCTCCAGAAATGGACGACAACTGTCTTCCAGACAAGCGCCGAACTGGGGCAGCCCGGAGACGAGGCTTTGACCGATAGTTGCTTCGCCGACGCCCTGCGGGAGGCCATGTCCGAGCAGCCCGTGGACCTGCCCCTCGTGAAGTGCCTCATGCGGAGGACTCTGCGGGTCCGGCAGGAGCTCATTAAGCGAGTCTCCGTGGCCAGCGTCCTCCAGGACTACCCGGCCCTCAAGCTTCCGGGCATGGTGAGCTCTCCAACGAGTTGCAACGTCGCCGTGACGTTGCGTCGGTGAAGTCACCTTTCCGTGACACTACATCTCGTCTGTGACGTTACGTCTCGTCCGTGTTGTTACAGCTGTCCGTCACAGTCCGTGTTAAATGTCCCGCCTCTGACACTACGTCGGTCTGTGACGTTACACGTGTTCGTTACCTGCCATCCGTCTGTAGCGTTACGCCAGCGTGACGTTGCATTTTGTCTATAGCATTACATCTTGTTTGTGACGTTGGAAGTCTGTGATGTTACATCTTATCCGCAATGTTGCATCTGTATGTGACATTACGTCTGCAACATTGCACCTGTCCATCGTGTTACATCTGTCTTTCAAATTTTTCAATGTGACATTGCATTTACTGATATGTTACATGCTACATTTGTTTTACAAATGAAACTGTATGTAACTCATTGGTTGAGTTTTCTTTGTGTTCGATATTGTTAAATCCGAAATTTGCAATTTTGTTAAATAGCGAATTTTGTTGGATCTAGATTTTTTGTTTTTTGAGCGTTGCAATTAGTCTTCCAGGCAGGGTTGCCAGGTAGTTTCTAGCTCAAACCGCCAAAATCAAGACGGCGTAGCCCAAAAGTAGCCAAATGCAAAAGATTTACGTAGCCTAAAAGTAGCCATATTCTGTAGAGCCCAAACAATCGTGCGCTCGAATGTGCGAGCTGAATTCGAAAGCACTGCGCCTGCATATCAGGGTTTAGGAGCAGCTTGCAAGATCTATGACATCTTGAAATGTATCAAACATTTTATTTCAAACACAAAAGTACAAACATTTTCGACACGCGTTTTTGCAGTCACATGGTTATGAAGCACTCGCTCGTGCCCGGCTTACTTGCCTCACACATGATTCCGTGTTAAAACGGGCAAAAACTTCTTCAGTGGGGTTGATGTCCTTACAGAGCTCGTTCTTCCCAAGGAAAGCAAACTTTAGATAGAGGACGTTTTGAAGAGTTGAAAGAGGCATGTTCTTCCTTAGGCCTGACTTTGTGAGGGACACGTGAATGAATACTCTCTCCACGGAGGCATTCGATATGGGCAGTGTTGGGAGCGCGATGGCAAGCTCGGATAACAGCGGATACAGGGCTGCTCCTGCGCATTGATATTGGCCTTGTTCGGAATATTCATTGTCTCAAATGTGTTGTCTTTTGTTATGGCTCATTGTACCTTAAGAAACTTCCATGTTTCGCGGAAAAGCCTCCTTTGTTATATCCAGTATAGCACGCGTTTACGGGCTACATCAAATTCTGCAGGATGTCTTGAGTTGCCTTAAGTATCATTTTTCCCCGGATGAGGTGCTTCCTGTAGGAGGATGGTGGGAAACTCGAGGAAATAAGAGACACCAGTAGGAGGCAAAAAGAACTTGGGAGCATAACATAAGCCACTATTAATACAAAAGCGATGTTGTCAGAGCTGAATCTAGGTCACGGTAGCTCACTTGAGCTAATAGATTCCGGCATCACGCCCACGAATCTTCACGCAGAAAATCCCTGAAAGCGGGAATCCAGAAAGGATGGACTGTCGCTTTGTGTCCATGCTGAAGTGTCTTTTGTACGTCTACTTTAAACAAAGCAACAACAAAAAAATGTGCCACGCTAGGATTTGAAATAGCCCAAAAATAGCCACATAGCCAACCGCTAAACTTCGACGCCAAATGCATGACAAAGTAGCCCCATTTGGCTATTAATAGCCCAACCTGGCAACCCTGCTTCCAGGCTCCCCAAACCTTCCAATTGCTTCACATCTAGCAAGTGAGCGTTTACAAATAAGAGTCCGTAATGCACCCTAACATCCAGCACACACCAAAATATCCAGGACGCAATCGTGTAGCCAGTCAGCAGTTCCGATTGCGTTCACCGCCGCAGACTCGCCACCGCAGACTCGCCACCCACCACCTTGCCAGCGGTGCTGTGGCACTCTTTAAATCGTTGCAGCCACCCACTGCTGACTTTGTCGTCAGATCCAAGCAGGCATGCAGGGCGATTGTTGAAGCAGAGAGTCCTTTCTGTTGATGTCCCGACCTAAAAACGTGCTCAAAGGCACATTCTTAGCCCGCATGTCGGGGAACCAGGTAAACGAGGCCTTTTCGACGTAAACATATGCAGCAGTCTTAAAGTTTTTTTGTTTTTTTGTTTTTTTTAGTATTTGAACCACTGGCACTTACAGTAGCCATAATGCTGCCTTTCAACTTCGAAATCGTCGAAATTGAACTCTGCGATATTTCATACTTGTCGGCAACCGTCTTTTTCTTTTCGCCATTTGTCACTTCAGTGATTATTTTCACCTGGATGTCGAGCGACAGAACTTTTCTTCTGTGCGGTGCGCCACTCACAGTTCCAAGAAGAACACAACCACTTCCAGCACAACACTCGAGGCACGAAACGATTTTTGTTGTTGCAGACACGTAAGAACTTTAGTTCGTTGGGCGTAGGTGCGTGTAATGGCGGACTTTTCTTTTTCCACAAGAGGCAGAGGCTACCACGCTACTCACCATCATCATCATCATCACCACCACCACCACTAGTGTTTTTTTTTTTTTTTTCATTTTGTGAAAAAGATAATAATCGCTCATTTTTATGCTTAGTTTTCGACAATAAAGTTTGTTTCTGCTGAATTTTTTTTTCTCGCGGAGGTTGCCAACATGTGAATGTGCAATTTTCCAAGACTTTGTTAAATCGAAACTGCGGCGCAAAAGTACATTACAAAATCGAGAGATAAAATACATTGTCCTCAATGGAAGCAAGATAGGCAGACAAGAATATTTTCTCAAATCGCGAATTTCGTTAGATCGAGGTTCAACTGTATTCCTACGGTGTCTCGCTCTGCTGGGCTATTTATGGTTCCCAATATAGACGCTCCGCACGCGTGATGCTCACTTCGCATGCCGGCCGCTCTTGCGGTAGGGCCTATGGGAGCTCTGGCTTTTCCGATTCAGACTCCCAACACTTCTCGGAATTAAATGCAGAGGATGAGAGCTTATCGTCCGAAGAAGAAGTCCTGTAGAGTGCCTCTGGTTAGAAATCTGAAGCCGCTGGAATGTCGCGGAAGGGGACGCGCCAAATTGAAATCGAATGGAAGAAAGGAGACAGCTTTTTACCTTCGATATTTTCACTTGAGGCTTCTAAGCCTATCTTCTAAACAGCTTGCAAGCACCGTATGTGCTCTCTCTAGATAATTAAGAAAAACCCGGTGCATTGACCCTTTATATTATTTCTTTGGAAACAAAGCCCGATCACTAGGAAACGTCTTTTGGGGAAAAAGAACTCGACCGTCAAAGGGTTAATACTGGCAGACAGTCTTTCTGTGTGCAGCCGGTGGGGGATACCTACAGTGCCAACCTATCTTTCCGCAGATGCTGCAGGATGCCAAGCTTCACTTTGGCATCGACATATTTGAAGCCATCCGGGACAAGATGCCTTTGTTCCAGGCACGTGCTCTGCTCTTCCTCGAGGAGAAGAAAGTGGTGCTAGATTTCGAACACCTCATTAAAGGTAAGCGTAATAAAAAAGGTGTTTGCTTTCTCTTTTTTATTAACGAGAAAATTTTTAAATCTTCTGCTTATAAACTGGAAAAGATGAAGTCGGAGGATTGTCACCAGATTTAAGAAAAATCCAACCAGATTCTGGAAATAATGGGAAACTTTAATGTTAACTACAGTATAGACCACTTACAACGTAACCGCTCATAGTGCAGGACCGGGTATAATGCGGCTTTTTTAAACCACCGGTTCGCCTCCCATAGAACTCCATGTAATTACATACCGCTTAAAATATGCAGGCATGCAAAGGGAAATACCGGTTATAGTGCGGTTTCTGGAACAGCCCGCCGACCGGCGCAGCGAGCACGCTTCCCTGTGCGACACTAGATAACGGCGCCTGACGGCGCCACGGCGATGGCTGCAAGCGGCACTCGCGGGGCAAGGAGCGAAGAGAGAGGCTTCAGTTGCCATAGCAACGGAGGGACGCATGCACGGGTCGTTCACGTGCGTGCGTCCCTCCGCTGCGCTAAAAACCACGACCAGAGTTGGTCGTGTTGGAAACAACCGCAACGACAGACCAATCGCAGGTCGAGGAGAAGTGTTCGCGCGCGTTGCATGCCGGTCGCGGGCCGGCTTCTATCCGCAAACATCGCGTCGGTTGTGATCATCGACGTAGACGACGTTCGTTCCGCGTAAAAGCGCTATCCTTGACTGTGAATTTTCGTTGCGTGTCGCTCTGATAACCCAGCACGTACTAGAAGGGAAGATCCACCTACTCGTTCGGCGATCTCGTGGTGGCACTCTCAAGACGGCAGAAACGCCCGTGTCGTTGTGTTTGTTTACCTCGACTACAGTGGTGCTTTCTAAGCATTTGTGTTTTCGAACATCGCCCGGATTTCTTATTTGGAGCATTTCATGCCTGTGCTCAAGTTTAAGGTATTACTGGCGCGTATCGTATAAAAGATGTGGATTTTCACGCGTTTTCATCACCAGAGAAAAGTGATTAGGGTTAGCAATCCTGAACGCTCGCAACGTCCGTCCGCAACCCGCGACGCCGTTAAAAGGCTGCTCCAGGCAAAAGTCGCTCATTTCTTTCAAAATGTGTGACACACTTGAGAGAGAAGTGTACTAGTCTGGTGAAATAAAGACTTTCCTCAAACTAAGCTTTATTTTTCATCTAACATAAAATAAATTCTTTTACAAAGGTAAGTTGTCTCATGGCATGTATGTTGGCCTGAAAAATTGATGTTTTGGTTATAGCGCGGTACCGCTTATAGTGCGGATTTTCGCGACTCCCGCGACATACATTATTTGCGGTCTACACTGTATAATCGGGGCTTTTGGTAACATCCGTGTGTGAAAGATGTGGCTTGAGGTTTCCAAGTGTTCTAGGCTGTCCAATGTAAACGACAATTCTGTGAAACCTGCTGAGAGTTCTGCGAAACAAATTTGTAGTGCAATGACAGCCATAAATACAATCAATGAATCACCCTTTCTCTGGGTCATCTTCCCAAACTTCACCCCTCAACTGTGGACTCCATGGCCGAAAGCAAAAAAATATATGCAAAATAGGGACACTTTTTGTCCCCATTTGGCCCATATTTTTTGGTACCACACTTACTTGTCAAACTATTTTTCGTGCTGCCATCTATGCATTGGTTTCTCAAGCAAGATTACTTCCAATGCTTGGCCATAGATGGCGCTTTCTCCCGTGCTATAAAAAGAGTGTTTAAACACGCACTCCCCCAAGACCAACTGAAAAGCAGCGTGTCTGTAGACACGCCTCCCAAGCTGCGGTCAAAATTGTCATGCGTCAAAAGACGCGCTTCCCAGTTAAGGGGTTAACACATATCAAGTTTCGCTGAGTATTTATAAGGTAGCACTTCTGGTTCCTTTTACCACTCATTGTCGTCATTGTTTTTTTTTTTTTTTAGTCATATCAGTGTTGCGATGATAGACGGTGCTGCCAGTTCTCGACTCCCGCTGTCGGTGCCCACTTGCTTAGACCATTAAGTGTTGCAGTGGTCTTCCTGCGCTTTAGCAGCCTCGTACGGGTTTCTGGCGATGCCGACTTAGTCGGCACCTATCGGTGCATCTTTCGAAATATTAAGCAAGCTGCAAAGCATTTCTGGTGCTGTCTCTCGAAGCACGTGAAAAGCTGCGAAGCTTTTCTGAGCGTTCGGCGAGATCTTGAGGCAAATTATTCTCGCGTAGCGCGAAGGAAGGTCTCCGGATGATAGACATCTAAAGATTGTGCCTGGACATAGCTACAACTGATTAAACTCGAAGAGAATTGGTAGTTCCCATCTTCGGCCACAAGTGATATGGAAGACTTCAAACAGTTGCACTCAGATGGCACTCCCCGTTACGTTTTACTCGCAGACGATCCGGAAAAGGTTTCGCTCCTTAACTTGCCTGTGGCGTTCGACGAAAGGAGGGCGTTCTTCTTCACGACAGACGAGGTATGTTGGTTCCTCTTTCGATACCGGTCAGGCTGGGGTCCTTTTACTCCCGGGCACAGTACTACTGAGGCCGCTTTGGCTTTATTTTATTTGATTGACTGGCTGCACGTTCCTTGGATCATAATCGCATCTCTAGGTTTGTCCGGCCAGGACCTGACGCTATTTTGAAAGAAATTGGGGCACCTCAGTAGTTTAGCCCGGATTACGAGCAAAAAACATACTTTTCGTGTGAGGCTCGTCAAAATATAAGGTGTTGAAGAAGGCCAGTGATCTGCATTAGGTTCTTATTCCTAACTTTTTTTGGGTCACATTCCACTCATTGAAAAGCACGACGAAAGAGCCCATTGCATGCACCTAATCTTGCCGCGCCGCCTTCTCCTTCCGCGTGATAAAGTCCGTCTGCTATGGTCAGCGTCACCGAGGCAACGACGCGTCTTTACAAAGGAACACGCGATTGCAGCGCCTGAGGCCAGAAGAAGCAGACGCCATCTTCCAAATGCCGTCTGCTAAAGTGAATGCGGATATCCTAGCCAAAATTGGATGCACTTGTGGAGGTCGACACTAATAGCTAGAAGTGGTCTCCTGGCAAACCCTCCGTGATTCGGGCAAGGCTTGGTGCATGCTCAGGCCTGATGTTGTATTCAGTTTTCCTCCACAAAGTGAGGTGTTTTGGGAAGCCTAGTTTGGAGGCCAAGCTAATGGGCACGTTAAGTCCGTGCTCCAGAGCGCGAGAGTTGTGCACCCAGAATTTCTCGGAGCGCGAGTGACTTCTTCGCGCTCCCTCCATGACATCACGTAAACAAACAAGATGGCTGCACTGCTGTTGAGATCATCGAGACGAAAGGCATAGCCGGACCGCCGCCCCTTTTCAGTTGATTACTGCTTAATCCAGCAGATAAAAACAATTTGATTTAAAAGCCAAGACAGCAATTCGCGTTCCGAAAAAGGTTTGTTCGTGCATCTCGCCTGAAAAGGAAATTCATCTATCGAACAGTAGCGTGCCGACAGCACAGCAACGGAGAAGTTGTCGAGATGAGAAGACATTCGGACCGCTCTGTCTTTTTTATAATGCTTAGCCCAGCGAATAAAGATACTTCGATTTGAAAGCCGAAACATCAGTGAGCGTCAAGGAAAAGGTTTGTTCGTGCGTCTTGCAAGCCGAAACATCAGTGAGCGTCAAGGAAAAGGTTTGTTCGTGCGTCTTGCCTGACAACGAATTGGTCTGTCGAACGAACGTGCCGATAGCTTGGCGACAGAAAAGTTGTGATGAAAAGAGGGTCAGATCGCTGCCCTGCTTAGAATGCTCAGCCCAACCGCAGCGAATAAAGATACTTAGACTGGAAAGCCGAAACACCAGTTAGCATTGCAGGAAAGGTTTGTTCATGCGTACTGCCTAAAAACGAATTGACGTGCTATCGAACGACGGTGTGCCGGTATTGGCGTAGCTTCCGTCTTGCTGCGCGACGGAACCAGTGGAACCATGTAATCTCTGACAAATTTGAGGGTTTCCTGCGTCGAAGAGCGGGTTGAAGAGTGTTGGCTTTAATTTAAATTGGAACAGCATGCATGGTCAATAAATAGATTGGCCAAGGTAATCTTCCACATATTTGCACGAAGCGAGTCTTCAAATCTTTCAGGAATATTAAAACGTTCGTAGAAACTTCATAACGTCGCCATCTCTTTTGCTTTAGACTCTGCCGCTCCACATGTGCCTATATATTTATCTTTGAAATATTTTCGGCTTCTGCCACCCGTAACCACGGTCGGAAGGAGCTCGTGTGGCCCGTCGATAGTTTCTGGCCGTGTTCCTAAACTTACCTACTCGATCTAACTCTAGGGTAAAGGTGGTCATCGAAAACCTACCCGCGTCCAGCGTTTCTCTGTTTTTGTTGTCACGTGACATAATCCGCCAGGGTAACTCGGATCCGTTCTAGTAGGTTTGGAACTCGGCCTCGGTGCGTCGCGCTCCTGTATGCTATGCGCCGTTTAGTTGCTGCGCTCGGAGTATGAAACTCGGAGCGTCGGAGTAGGAGTAAAGGAGCGCCGACTTAACGCGCACAATGTTGCTGCGTTGGAAGCAGACGGCATTTGGGAGCTGGCGCAGGTGTTGCTGGCTTCAGATGCTGCGCTCGTGCGTGCATCTATCGACATTCGAGGAAACGGCGAGGTGGTGAGATCAAGTGCGTATTTGGCAACTTTCACCGTGCATTTTCAATAGGTGGAACGTGAACAGAAGACTTCAAAATAAGGGCTCAATGCAGATGACTGATTCCCTCCAGCACCTAATATTTTGATGAGCCTTACATGAAGAGCATTGTTTTTATGGCCGTCCGGCAGCTGTTTTTTCTCTTCCCTGGAACATGGGACTAAATATCAAACTGCCGAAATCAGTTTTAAAGTCGTGGCACTAAGAATGGGACACTGAACGTAACAACACATTTTGTGTCATCAAGCTTAATTTAGAAATCTTGGAGGTTTCACTAGGAACAAACTATTGATGTTTTGCTTTGCCGCCTGAGGGTAAGCCATGCACGCTTGACGCACCTGCAAATTCTTGGTGGCAAAGATGTTAAACTCTGTGCCGTTTGTGGGAAAGAGCTGACAGTCTTGCACATTTAATGGCGTCGTAAATTTTGTCACCAATTAGGCCAATGCAGCTTTCATGAGCATTCTAGATAACTAACTTGCACTATGGGTATTCTACTTCACATTAAAACAAAAATTTTGTGGATTGCAATTATTATTTTTTTAAATACATTTCCTAATAAAGTAACTTTTTTCTAAAGACTGTTGTAGAATTGACCTACAAGACTGAAACTTTAGATGTCATCAATCCTAATGTGGTTCAATTTGCCCTGAAAGTTTGAATCAGTTTGAAGAAATGGTTCAAAAGTTGACCTCCCAGGCCATGTCCCTGCTTACCACACTCCGTACCAGTGCATTCTAAGCACTTGTATAAGTGGGTTGCTTTGTGTCTGCAGTGCCACAGCTCAGCCAATGACGGCGTGAGATGTTTGATCTTCGAAAATGGGACATGCCTAGTTGGCTTTGTCAGAACTTCTGAGACATCAGTTCGTCGTTTACTTTCTTTTCTTTTTGGCAGAGCGGCCAAAACGCGACTGTGTGTACTAAAAATACCGCACGCATTACATTGCACATATAAACGCACCTAAGAGCGTGCTGGCATGCATTCACCGATCATCTAATCTTTCGGGAAAGCGACAACTACTCCACAAAATGAAGAAAAAAAAGGTATATATTCTTTTTGCCACATGTTTGGAGTGTTTGTATTTGCTGGGATCACTTTTGCACTCATCATTCATGTCGTGAACATTACAATAAAAGCAATAATTGGTTTTGTGTTCTGCAAACTTACTTTCTCATAAATGATGTATGAGGAAAAATTAATATACGAGCTGGTCACTAAACAGCAAACCAGCAGGAGGACAATATGAAGATTGGGAATGTTCTGCTTCAAGTTATGAAAAGGTTTTTCTATTCTCATAGTTTTGCCTGTTGTTAGAAAAAAGTTTCATGGTCTCTTAAGCAGCGTATGTATGGGCAGTGGTGGGATCTTGAAGCTTTAGTATTTTGCATTTGTAGTTTCATCAGATAAAGAAGATTTGTACTTTGCCAACTGGAGTATTGCAATTTATTGTGTTTTCTAATAATGAAAACTGTAGTCAGGAAGGGTTAGAGTTTATTTCAATCCATACTATTGCATCTTGAAATATTTTTGTTTTTAGCAGACTTGTGGAATTGTTTAAGATTTGGATTCTTAAACATGTTGTCCTCGTGAGGCTTAAGTTGTGTTCTTTTGTTGTCTATGCCTTACTTTGACAGTTCATCAGAGGAACCAGCCTGCTACCAGGACAGTTTCTTTCGCATAAATTGTAATTATGCTCTCGCTTTTGATGCTAAATGCTAAATCATATTTTAAGGAAATTATATGTTGGGAAATGGTTCTGGGACGTCACATGCAGACTTGAATAGCATTGTGCTATTTTTGTATTTGGAAAAGCATGCCCGCACTTAGAGCCCCATGTTGGACCTGGGTGACTAGTTCCAACATTTACTTAGACTGCTACAAAACCCTACTTTTGTGGCTCCTGAGCTGCTCTAAAGAAGATTTTTTTTTTTCTTCTCCAAAGCTGCTCGAGGGGGGGTCCCATTGCAGCTCCTAGACGTTTAACAGATTTTAACAGATTCAATTTAACATAATTTAGTGCAGATAAATGCTATATCTGTCTTACATAGATGTACAGATGTCTGACTAATGCATTTGTCTACCTCCTCCTCAGGTTAGCTTTTTGACACACTGCACTTCTTTTGTGAGCATGAATTATCTCATCCACATTGCTGCTTTAAACCAACAGCTAATTTTCTTTTCTCAAAACAAAAACTGAAGCTTTGGCCCTACTTTAATACTTGGCATTTTGAGAACATTTCTTTCAAACTTTTTTGTTTTAAATTGGAGTGACATCAGACATTTTGAGAACATTCCAAGCTTCTTTTGTTTCTATTTGAATTGCATCAACTCTACGTAGCTTACACCAACATCACTTCGTCGGACATGAGGGGGGGAAAGGGCGCACGAGAGGGTAGATTCCGCTGCGTTAAAGGAGCTGTGCCACAATTTCAGGGCTTTGCTTAAATAATTGTGGAAGTTGATGCCTGACACTTCTTCAGTGAACTACAGAAAACAGATTTCGCCTGGATACCCTAGCTTTTATTTAATAAAAATGAAAAAGATTGAGGTTTTTGCCGCTTCTCATTTCGTACATCGTCTTTCGGGTCACGTGCGCAGTGAAGTCACTTGAGTAGGCGCGGGGTTCTGGAAAAGTTATGTTTTTAGAGCCATCAGCGAGCAGCGAGAACTCATCCGCTCGCGACCGCGTGACCACGTGCTGGCGGGCGCCCCGCGAAATATACGGTGAAAGGAGAAAAGTCTCATCCGGGTCCAGCCATACCCATCCTTGCCCGTCCAGCGCTGTCCCCCTCCCCCTCCAGCTTCTGACGGCTATTCGCGGTTTTGTGGACCTAGGATAGATGGCGCCACTAAAACACCGTATAATAAAAGTTTTGTCGATGATACCAGGGTTTTGATGCACTTATATATATGTTGGAACGACAAGATTTATAGAAAAGTTACCTTTTATCGAGCAGGTATTCGCACAACTTGCTATCTTTTTTACAACTACCCTAGTGACGTCACGCCGCTTGTTTCTCATGGCCGCCGCTCGTGGCTGCAGGTCGGGAAATATTCTAAGTTTTGCCTCGCTATTATGCGGCAGAATTGCAACATTTCGATGAAAGGAGGTGTGTTTTCTGCCATTTGTGACACAGTGAACAATATCAAAAGCAGAAAATGCCAATTCTTTCAACGTTGAAATCGTTGCACAGCTCCTTTAACGAGGCACTTCTTGCCACCAGAAAGAGGGGCGGACTGAGTTATGTGCACGCCATGTATTGAAAAGGTGAGTAGAGCTGGGAAAAGCTTCAGTTGTCCGCCTGCAGCGCAAGCTGCCTGCTCTCGACAGAGCTTCAGCGCCTCGTACACTCCGAATGCGCATGCGCGCAGTCAAAGCATAAAAGAAGGCATAGAGTGTGCGCTGGAAGTGCATCCTGCCATTTTCACTCAGTCAAGTGACTATAGTACTGGAACATGTCACGCTCTTTTATATTTTTCAAAGTCTCTCCACGCATTCGAGTAAACTCCGTTGAGCATGCTTCCAGCACCATGCCCGCGCTCGCCGAGAGGTGACATTCACTGGGCGACTGCTCCCATTGGCCATTTTCGCAGGAGGTGACGGCAAGGACACCGATAATCCAAGTCAAGGAAAGCTGTTTTTCCATCTTCGTTGACGGCGTGGAGGCTGTGTGCGACATCGAAACGACGGCGGAGGCGGTGGGGACGCTGATGGCCGCCTACCACCTGTTCAACATTGAATACCCGGCCGACCTGGCGCGCACCATGGAGTTTATCGAACACTTCTTTTGTGACCTCGGCGGCGGAAACGTCACGGAGCCGGTGGAGCGGTTAGCATGTTTCCTGAAGGAGTGACGCACGCGGTCGGACCTGCAGTGCCTAGAACGCATGTTCGACTGCACGCTTACCGTCCCATCCTTCCCACGAATCGAAAGTGGTCCCGAAGAGGCAAGAGGGGGGCAACCAAGGGGGCCATGGCCTTCCTACTGCTGGGGAAGGACGCAAAAATTGTAATAGCTTCCTGTTTTCTTCCTAAATAAAAAAAAAATGTTTTATATGTCGCCTGCAGCACCTCGATTTACATTTTCTGCTGACAAGACAGTGGTGGAGCATTCTTTGATCCATTGTTGTATATCAAAAGTACACCATTCCTTAAGGGCTGAACATAAGTTTCTATGATTAGTATTTGATGGCATCTTCGCCTTTCACCGACATATAAAAGCACTAAGACTGTGGTGTCAGAGTATGCTGAAAACCCTCGAAGTCCTTTTCTAGGTAACGAAGGACGCCTTTATCATGAAACGTTGTACCGCCAACTGTTTTCTTCGGACGGGGCCATAGCAGCCATAGAGTTACATATTACAATAAACGCTAGGACAGGGTGTAAGATAGACAGGTGGGGAAACGAGAGCCAAATGAGTGACCGCATTGTGTCCCCCATGGTTTTCTCTTTTTCTGTGGCGCCATCTATGTGGAGCACCGCGAACTCTCACTCCGGGTGGGCGACCGATGGCGACCGGCTAAACCGAGGGAGATGGTTTTTTGTGGATGTTAAATAAAACACTGTCGTGCTCTCGGTTTATTTTGCGCAGTATCCCATAGAGTTCCACGCAAATCCGATTCCGATTTTTTTCCTCTCGCCGCAGCGCCATCTGTCGCAAGTCGGGGGTACCCACAAGCAGACGAGTACGCAATCCGGTCACGGCGCTGCGGTAAACTTCTATGGGCCGTTTCCCCACCTGTCTATCGTACCCCTGGCTAGGGCTCAGCTGGCGCTAGTGTGCTGTTGCATTTTGAAGCAGACAGCAAGCAGTCAGAAATTGACTTCCGGTAATGCATTTCTATGGGAAAAAGCGAGTGCATTTTCTCCCTGCACTCGATTATTAGAGCAAATATCACTAATAATTTGTACGTACTAGGCACATTGTAACATTTCTCAGTCACGCAGACGAAATAGTTGGTCAGTTACAGTGTTTTTATTTGAAATTCATGGTATGAAAAACGGTGTTAAAACCGCTTTGTACGTGTATTTATGTGCACTGTCGGACACTGTTAGCGCGAACACAACGTCGACGCTTTCCAGCATGGGGGATATACGTGCCAAACGATTGAAGGACATGTAGAAAACCAAGACAGACGGCAAGACCTATGCAGTAACACTGGATAAGTAATTCCTTGTGCACGCAGACGATCAAAATAAATTGAAAGCCACGTAATATAGTCAGATTTGCAATAAATAAGTACTGCTTTATTCTTTCTGCTCATGAATATCTGCGAAGATATTTGTTCTGGGTTCAAATCGTCACCCGCACTCTCCAAATCTTTGCAAATAGGGGGAGCCAGAGTGCAGGTGCCTGATAATGCATGCGAATATTTCTTTAACCGATCGTAAAGGTCCACGACGGAGTCATTTTCATCCAATGACAGGACGGGCATATTAACAATATATAAGCACCACCGAAATGCTAGCAAACCTTGAAAACACGCTACATTCCTTTCGATCGTTAGTTTGCTTATAATCGTGGCTCGTTTTCACATACCTTCCTTGAAACAGAGGTTTGGACCTGAGATAGAGCAAAGTTTAACATCGTTCAGCGGTAGAGAAAAATGCTGTAACTAAAGCAATTACACTTTCAAAATACCAATAAAGGCGCATACTATCCGGTACAACCGAAATGACAAAAGTTATTCATGTTATTTTCCGGCGAAGAGACAAAATTCATGCGCGTTTTCCCATAGGAATACACAGGGAGGCAGGAAATGTAGACTGCATGCTGTCTGCTTCAATTTGCAGCCGGAAGTCCCGTAGACACTAGCGCCAGCTGAGCCTCTAGCGTTTATTGTAACAACTCTATGGACGGGGCTACTCCAACGATCTATGGGTTACTTAAGCTGCATAAAAAGAGTTGCCCTCTCCGTCCTATCGTGTCTTTTGTTGGTTCACCAACTTACAACCTGTCGAAGTTCTTGGTTGCGACGATTTACCCACAAACGGAGGCGATTCCTATCAACCCGTTTGGTGTCTTAAAAATCATTGAAAATGAGAAACCTACCTCAAGTACAAGGGATGACCTCATTAATCCCAAGATTTTATTCAACACGAAACGCATATCATCTCTCTTCCTGTCTGACATTTTCCGTGAATCCCTTGCTTCTGGTCATATTTTCCTTGACTGGAAAATCTCCCCCGTCATCCCTATCCGTAAGTCCGGAGACCGAAATTCACCTCTTAAAAAACCTCTGACACGCAAAAAAAAAAAGAAAAAAAAAATTTTTTGGCTTGGCATTGAAATGGCATGTTAGGACATTACAAAAAAATTGTTCCACTATAGAGGTGCATAGTTTTTTTTATAAAAAATAGAAATACGAGGCCCAATTCAAAGTTCCCGCCAGTGCACTGTGACGTAACAGTGTACCGCAAGGTGTCGGGGCGGTCAGAAGGGAGGCATCACCGGAAGTCACGTGAGTTGTATCCCTCCTCGTGCTTACCGCGAGCGCGTGTAATATTTTTTTAATATTTTTTGTTATTCTCCGCACCTCCACGAGTGATATCCAAACAGACAAGGTTTCTTTTATTTGCTTTTCATCGCTTAATGTTGCTGTAAAGGTAGAAGAAGAGTCAGTGAATTGACGTGATCAACTACAATGCCTAGAAGGTGCTGTGTGAGGGACTGTCCCGGTATTTCAGCAACTGAAAAAGAGATCACACTGCATGCATTTCCGAGAGACGGTAAGCATCTTCAGCCTGGAGAGTATACGATGATTTGACGGCCTCGGTGTCCGAAGCTTCAGCAATGCAATTGGACGTGTCGTACGCAAGCAATCCTAATTTCTGCGAGCGTTCTAGAAATTTTTTTTTCAAAACTTGATAGTTTTGACGCGCAATATGTGACCTCAGGACCAAAGATGTCACTTATTGCGCGCTTTCGGTACCACGGGTCGCCCTCGTAGGTGGAGGAGATTTCCGCGTCGTCCAGTTAAAATATGACGCACTTATATTTAGTTACTCTCTCCGTGCCCGCTGGCTTGCCCGAACCCAAGGAGACGTGGAAACCGCAAAAAAGGTAGACGCTTAAATATGATTGCAGGGCCCCTTTAAGCATATGTACTGGACGCGAGTCTTCAAACCATTCATGATAATTAAAACGTTAGTTAAAACTTCCTAATGTCGTCTTTGTTTTGGTTTTTATTTATTATTTTTATTTACACTTTCCCGCTTTGAGGAGGCCTTAGTTGATTTACCTGAGAAATAATTCCGACTTCTGCCACCCGCATCCAGAGGATGCCGAGTTTGTCGCAACCGTGCTGTTGGAAGTGGCTTAGGCGGCTCGTCAACAGTTTCGGTGTGTTCCGCTCCTGTACTCCATGCTCCATTTTGTTGCGGCACTTGGAGTATGAAGCTCAGAGCGTCGGAGTAGGAGTAAAGGAGCGCGGACTTATGTGCCCAATATCGAAAATGGGTACAATGTCGAGTTATAGCAAAACCTGCTTGGCAGTGCAAGAATCGACCTGATGCGAAATTGCTCGGTGGTCTGAGAACACTGAGAGCGTTGCCATTTTATGGATGGCAAGCGTTGTCGGTGCCGAAGCACGATGGGGGCATCGGAGACAGCCATACAGGCAATGTGCAAAGGTGCGGCAGCTGTGTTTTCCACCTTTCAACCATGGAATGTGGACGAACAGTCTAAACAACATACCGAAACTGTCTGATGAAACTCTTGGAGGCAACTCATCTGAGGGCGCTACGAAATGCATGCAGAGTGCTCGTCCAACACACCTACAATACACCCGCACCGAATCGATTACAAACTTTAAGCACCGTGCCTATCTACAATGTTAAACAAAAAGGCCACGGTTTATGTATCTTGAATCACAGATGTTCGTCCGCACCGAAGAAGGCAGTGTGTGAGCTTCCACCACTGATTTCCACAGTGAAGGCGTACGACTCGCTCCACTGTAGTCGCAAGCGTGCACAGGCCTTCGAGTTTCGTCAGACAGTTGTGGTAGGTTGTTTAAACTGTTTGTCCACATGCCATGGTCGTAAGGCGAAAAACACAACTTCTGCGACATCGCACGGTGCCAGTACGGTTGCCTCTGATGACTCCACCATGCTTCAATACCGACGACGCTTGTTAACATTCAAATGGCGACGCTCTCAGTGTTGTCATATGACCAAGCAATTTCGCATAATGTCTATTCAACTAGCAATGTCCAAATCGGCAAAAGAAAGCGCAGCGGGGCATCGCACACTCGGAAATCGGTCCCCAGCAAGGTAAATGCAACAAAACTGCTTTCGCACGGTGCAAGACACCAAAACAAGAAAATCTTAGAAAAAGCTCCATCACACTTACTCAAAGCTACAAAGGATAGAAGCAACAACAGTGTCAAAATTAAAAACAGCCAACCTTTTATTTTTTTTTTACAAGAAAACTGAATTTTACATTCAATCACAATTACTTTGTGCAGGATTGTTTCTTCCACATAAAAAAGAGTTCCATCAAAAGAAAAACTTTTTCCAACATAATGGACCACACCTCAAAGGAGTATACCTCAAGCGAGTGCAAAGGGACTCGAAACAACGCCTAAACATGACCCAATATGCATTCAGATGCAGAACATAGCGAGTAGCTGAACGAAAAACATGTTAAACAAAGTATCACATTACATTGCCCAGCCTCAAGAATGCAGCCGACAGGGAATCATTCCCTACTCCCCAATACCTTTATGTGATGACAAACAATGGCATTTGGACAAAAGAATTGGGAGCATTATTCCAGACAATGTGGCTGCATGCACAATGTCTGTGACCCACCACACCGGACTTCAAACAGAACCTTCCCATATATTGCTGGCATTCGAAGGGGCTATTTACTGCCTTTTACTTTTATTTTGTATTTATAAAAATGCTCTTAGAGTTTGTCAACCTCAACTTTTGGCATTGCCTGATGAGCAAAGACAGATTAGAAAATGACATTGGATGCTGCTGGCCTTTGTATGGCTTAGTGCACATAAGCGCTTCAGTGTGGTGAGCTTTAACCATTAATCTGAGCAATGT